GCAGCCCTTGGAATCAAGTCTCAACTGTCAACTGCTTATCACCCTCAGACTGATGGACAAACAGAAAGAACAAACCAGACTCTGGAGCAGTATTTGAGGTGCTATGTCAGCTATCAACAGGATGATTGGCCCACCCTCCTTCCACTGGCAGAATTTGCTCTCAACAATTCTCTCCACTCAAGCACCCAGCTATCTCCTTTCTTTGCAACCTATGGCTTCAATCCAAGAGGAGATCTTCTGGGACAAGAGACCCTATCCAATGTCCAAGCTCCTGCTGTGGCTTCACACTTGCATAAGCTCAAGATCATCAGCACCTTCCTGGACTCCACCCTGAAGCAAGCCCAAGAAGATGCCTCAAGATTCGCCAACACTCACAGAATGGACCATGACCTTGCTGTGGGTCAGCAAGTTTGGCTTCTGAGGAAGAACTTGCAGACCAAAAGACCAAGTCCCAAGCTAGACAACCTCAAGTTGGGTCCTTTCAAGATCTTGGAGCAAATCAATCCAGTCACCTTCAAGCTGGATCTCCCTGCATCCATGAAGATCCACCCAGTTTTCCATGTCAGCCTTTTGGAAAAGTTTGTGGCCAATTCTATTCCAGGCAGAGTTGTTCCTCCTCCTCCTCCAGTTGAGGTAGAAGGTGAAGAGGAATTTGAGGTTGAACAAATCTTGGATGCCAAGTGGTTTGGAAGGACACTCAAGTTCCTTGTTAAGTGGAAAGGTTACTCAGATGCTGACAACACCTGGGAACCTGAGTCAAACCTCACTCACTGCCAAGACCTTCTGCTCAAGTTCAAGACCAGGTACCCCACCAAGTTGCAGAAGAGGCCTAAAAGGGGGAGATGATGTTATGAATCACCCTCTGGAAACCTCTGGAACCTTCTAGAACATTCCTTCATGGAACCTTCTGGAACCTTCTGGAACCTTCTAGAACATTCCTTCATGGAACCTTGTGGAACCTTCTGGAACCTTCTTTGCTTTCCTGACTTGTCTTGTTGTCATTGGTATCATTGGTATCATTGCATTACTAATTGCTCTTTCTGGAACTTTCTTGGAGTCTTGACAAGGAACACTCTCAAAAGGTATAAAAGGGGGATGGGGGACCTGTCCCATCCCTCAAGTGAATTATTGTTTCCAATACAATCATCACTCCTCTCAGTCCCTTGTCTGCCTTGTCCTGTCCTGCCATGTTCCTGACAAATACGAGCACGGAAGTACTCTCTCGGTTACACACCGACCTTGTCCAGATGCCGGTCCAGGGCAGAAGGAGAGAGAAGTTCTGGCAGATAGTCGTCAATGAATTCTCTCGATGGATAGACATAGAATTCTTGACGTCGAAGAAGCAAGCACCTGAGCGCTTCAAGAGAACTGTGGAACGCTTTGATCTACAACACAGTAAAAAGGTAGCCGCTATCTGCTGTGACGGTGGTGAACTTTACTCAGTGAACTCCTTCAAAGTTTGGGCATCCCAGCGAAGTCCACCCATCATGCTTGAACCCAGTCCTCCTTACACCAAGGAATTCAATGGACTGGTAGAACGGCAGATTGGAATAATAAAGGAGATGTCAGCGTGCATGTTACTGGAGTCGCGATTTCTGCACTCATTTCTACCCTACACCCTGCCCTATGCGGCATACATCAAAAACAGAGTTCTTCACAAAACCACAAAAGCTATACCCTACCAACGCTGGTTTGGCTCATTTCCTACACTCAACCATCTACGCACATTTGGTTGTTTGGCGATATTCAAAATGCCTAAGGAAAAACGCCTTATGACCTCATGGAAGGGAATGCTGGGAATCTTTTTGGGTTTCAAAGGAAATAGACTTGCAGTCCTCTATGACCTTGCAGGGCATATGATCACTGAGCAGTACCATGTGAAATTCCATGAAGATATCTTCCCAGGGTTAGACTGCAAATCAAAGACCTGTTTAAAGATTTGGGTTCCATCCGAGCAACTTCCAGTCCCCGACACCTCCCCTTTTCTTGATTCCAGACGTCTTTCCTTCTCCTGTGGCTTCTGTTTATGCACTGCTCTCCTCACCGTAGCCTGGGTGTAGAGGATGTGAGTTGGTTGGCCCCCAAGAAAGCTGCCTGTTGGGAAACCAATGGTACTCCACAGCCAGTGGGCCGTGCGGGTCCTAAACTGCATAACCACTTCCTATTGCATTCATAGGATGTGATTATTGCTGGATTCATGGCAGTGAGCTGGGCAGGAACAACAAACTGTCGTATTCTCTGTTCTCTGGGTTCCTCCCTTTTGATAATGGGAACCAATCTGTGCTCACGGAAGTATCAGACATTGCACAGAGACCATTGGTAGTTCCCAGGCGCAAGGCACTTGGGAGCGCCCGATGTGGGGGTCGAACCCACGACCTTAAGATGCCTTTCCAAGGCCCGCTGGAGCTCTAAAAGTCTCACGCTCTACCAAACTGAGCTAACCGGGCTGTGGACCCCTTCCAGGACCATTCAACATCATTCGTGACAATATTGACGAACTGTTAGCGATGCGATGGCCATGGGTGCAGCACCTGTTATGCAAAGCCTGCATAAGCATCTGAGGCTCCGACCAAAAGGGCGTTCGAAAGGTGGGAGCAGGGTCGGAGGCCAAGAAGTGAGGTCAGTCGCAGGTGCTGAGACGTGGAGAGTGGTTTTGTGAGATGTCTGCGATTTGGTCACTGGTTGGTACGTAGCGTACAGTGATCTCTCCAGTGGCTATGCCTTGTGGGAGGAAATGAGCACGTATGTCAATGTGTTTTGTGCGAACATGTGTGGGAGGGTTGAGCACCAAGTGCAATTGCAGGTTGATTGTCCACAAGGATTGGTAGTGGCCATTGTGCAGGGAGTTGCAACTTTGATAATATGGCTAGTAGCCATTGTGATTCTTGGAAGGCTTCAGAAAGTGAGTAGTATTCTGCTTCTGTGGAGGATAGCGAAACGCAATGTTGTTTGCGTGAGACCCAAGAGACAGTGTTTGCGATTTGGCAAAGATGCGCTGGGAACACCTCATGGCCAAACCTCGTTTTGATTTAGCCCCGCTGCAGATGGTGTGTACTGACCAAGCTGGAAAGATCAGTACACGTTCTCTTGACAGTTCCAACTACTTTGAAGTTATTGTCGACTACGCCACAGGCTATACTTGGGTCAACACTGTTGCTCGCACAGCAGGCGTCACTCAAAGGATAATTGATTGCATTGATTTTGAAGAGCAACTCTTCCCCACTCGTTGAACACTATTTGTACAGGCAGACAACCTCAGTCTTAACACTCAGCAATTTGAGGCCTACTGTATCAACCACCAACCTCCCATTGTCTTTCAGCCTTCTGTCCCTTATGTCAAGGAGGGTGATGGTGTTGCAGAAAATGCCATCAAGGTCATCACCCACATTCCTTCCTGTCTCCTGATCAAAGCCCAGCTTCCACGGTTCTTCTGGTCCTACGCAATACGCCATGCTTCATTCCTGTGCAATTGTGTGCAACACACTTGCACTGGTTGAATTCCATTTGAATATTACCAAGGCCGAAAACCCAACCTACGCCACCTTGGAATTTTTGGCTGCCTCATTGTCACACTCAACAATGAGTATACAGAACCTGCAAACTCACACAAGACCAAGTTTTCTCCTCAGTCCTCACTTGGACTCTTCTTGGGTTTCGACACAGACAGCTAGTCTATTGCCCTCAGCTATGACTTTACTGCACAGACCATTCTTTGGACGTGCTACTATAACTTGCATGAGCATGTCTTTCCTGGCCTTGTCCGCAGTGATGCTAAGCTTCAATCTCTTAGTTCTGATTTCTTAACTTCTCTCTCAGATGATTTTACGGATTTTCCTGAATCTGACGACTCTCCTTCTTTCAAGCCTGTCAAGCCACCACTGGACTCTTACCATCGATTATCCAACTCTCCTCCTGACAGTGCTCCCACCACTTGTACTCGACAGCAACTGCGCCAGGCTCCCAGGGGGGAAGGGGGGGGGGGGGGGGGGACAGCCACCATCATCATCAACAAACTCCTCAGATCAACCTCCAACTCTTCCCCAAGATATGGAAGACGATAATGACAGTGACGACTATGGTTGGAACCCTGACACATTCACTGTCGTCCTGGGCAAAGACGAAGGCGAACCTGAAGAGAGCCTAGCTCCAACGGCAGACTGCATAGCAGCATCCATCAACACTGAACCAGAACCTGTCATTGAATCACCACTTCCACCATCTGTCATTGTCAACATCAAAGATGCACCAACTGGACTTCACAAACCACTTGCAAATTGAACAATCATCACTTGCCATCCGTTGCAACTCTACCTTGCATCAGTCAAACCAGAACCACACTTCCCAAAGTGCTTCCCTAAAGAACCAATCCACCAATCACACTCCCACCAGTGCCACATTCCCACACGGAGGCCCACGCATCAGACTACAACAAAGAATGAGCTTCACTCTCTCATGGACGAGCGCAAGGTCTGGGAATGGGCAATTCTCCGTCCTGGCGAACGAGCAATGTTCTGCAAATGGGTTTATGCCTACAAGCTTGACCCCTTTGGCTGGAAGCGATGGAAAGCCCGTCTTGTCGCATGTGGAAACACCCAATGCAAAGGCATCAACTACACAGACACCTTTTCTCCGGTCGTCCAGATCCAGGCCATTCAACTGCTCATTGCAATCAGCCTTGCTTTTGACCTCGAGTACGACAGCATGGATGTCAACACAGCCTACCTGTACGCTTTTCTCAAAGAAGTCATCTACATGCACCACCAAAAGGCCACGAGAGATTCACTCCAGATGGAAAGAAACTTTCTGCAAACTCCTCAAGAGCCTCAATCAATCTGGGTGCAACTGGTTCCTGACCCTTCGCAAGTTCATCGTCGAGAAACTTGGCTTCAATCAATTTCTTGCTGAGCCCTGCCTCCTTCTTTTGAGAAGACCCTCAGCAGCAAACATTTGAACTCATCTTTTTTTTTTGTCAATGACATTAATGTCATTGCCTGTCCACAGCCCGGTTAGCTCAGTTTGGTAGAGCGTGAGACTTTTAGGGCTCGGAAAACGGCCGAGAAAGGCATCTTAAGGTCGTGGGTTCGACCCCCACATCGGGCGCTGTGATCGTGCAAAGGACGCAAGATATCGCCTTCTGTCTCTTGACTTACATAGTATTGTATGGTGGACGGTTATATGTCAAAGTTGTGCGCCAAAACAGAGCATTTTCACGTGAGTTTGGCGGGCATGTTGAAGCAAAATCCACGGTCTTTACGCAACAAGACGCTTCCGTCCCTTTGATTCCGCTCCCCGTCAACAAGAGCCAAGTGTACTTCATGAAATCATCAGATTCATACAGTTGTTTTTAAGCTTTGTGGTAAGGGTTCATCAGCTATGTTGTCGATTGCGCCCAAAGTTTGCGAGAGTGGGAATGTGGAAGAATCTCCTTCCACTCCTCTGGGCCACCCTGCAGAAATTGTTTGCGTTGTGAAAAAGTCAGCGTCGTTGTTTGACTTCTCTTTGGTTCAGCTGCCGACAAATCCTCTTGTGGATGATGTGATTGTTTGTGCAGATTTTTTTCTGCTGGCACTGATCTTTTGCGTGGAAAGAGGTTTGTGCAAAGTCTTAGGTGGAACTGGCTGGTTAGCAGCAAGAGGCACAAGACAAACCTGGATCTATTGTGACTGTCAGTTACTGTGCTACACAATGCCCATGGGGAGAGCAAGGCAGCTGCCTGCCAACACAGACCCAGTCACTGGCTTGTGCAGTTGACAATAACCAAGTGTTAAGTGGAACAGAAACTCTGTGAAACAGCTTTGCTTATTTCATCCAGTCCAAAAAGAGCAAATGCTGTTGCTTCAAGCAAGGAATTGAACGAGCTGGCTTCTGGTATGAAACAAAATTTAGAGGGCCAAGTGGCAAAAAGAGAGCATATGTCCTTGCAATCTGTCTTCAGTCCCTGATTCTTACATTGCTTCAGGAAGATTGGTAGAAGTACAAGGCTTATTTGCACTGTGCATACAAAGTGAAGAAGCATGAGATTGGAGTGCTGAAAGACCACATGCAGGTCGTTCAGGACTTCTTGAAATGCTGGTGTTTGGAGAGCTGGGCATCGAGGGCTGCAAGATAAGGGCAGATAAGATAGGACTGTTGGTGACAAAAAGGTACAAAAGACCACTTGTTTCTTATTTTTTCAACAAAAGCTTGACGCAGAAAAATTCGAACAACAAGTGAAACATGGAAGAGAGAAACAAACCCCTGGGTGCTTGTGAGTCAAAACTGTTTGCTGCAACCTCTGGTGTTCGTATTAATTCTCTACATTGTTGCAAAGGAGGCGGAACTGACTGGTTAGAAGCAAGAGGCACAAGACAGACCCGAACCTATTGTGACTGTCAGTTATTGTTCTCACAATGACCATGGGGAGAGCAAGCCACCCTTGCTCTGTTGACAAATACTCTAAGTATTAAGTGGAATGGAAGCCTGGTGTTAACAGCTTTCCTCCTCCTCTGCTCAAGCAGATACTATAGGCACGCTAGCAACTATTATAGCGTGCATATCATCATTATGTATCAAGTATTCATAACAGAGTTTTTTTTTCTTTCCCTCAAGTTGGGGAGAAGGACCACACAAACACACATCTCCACTTCATTCACTCCTTCCACTCACTCACTCAGAGTAGACTGTTTACACATCAGTGTGCAAGCTATCTCGACCTGGGACCTGTCGATCTCATTGTATGTTTTGCTTCAGGTGGGAGGCAATCCAGAAGATGAAGGGTTTGAGTGGGTGGGGATGGAGTGAGCAGTCTTTCAACCCTTTGGTGGACGACGTCGTTTTCGACGCATTCGTAGCGGTGGGTATTCCTAGATTTGCCGTCTTGTTCGTCCTTTTAATTGGCTTTTCTTCTGTTTGCATACCTTTTACTCTTCTCAGGCTCAACCAAAAGGCTCCAGTCCGATCTACAAAGACCTAAGGGCTCTTGGTTGCCCTGGCTATCCTGTGCTGAAGTCGATATTTGATAAAACTGCTGCAAGGGAACGTTTTGCAAAAAGCTCCTCAGGGAAGAGGGCAACTTCAGCACGCAGTCAAACTGCAAACGAGGCGGAAGCCGATGCCAGTGGAATGTCAGAGGCTCCAACGGACGTCACACTTTCTTTGAACGAAGAGGGCAACAGCAATGACAATGACAGCAGTGAGGACGAGACTGTTGACAAAATCCCGTTTGCCCTCAACACTGATCCAACAACACCCTCAGCAGCATCAACTCTGCCATCACCTGTACCAGCTCTAGCAACCGGCATCTCACAGAAACAAAGAGCTGCATCGCCTGACGAGTCCATTGGTGTTGGGATGCGGCCCAAGCAATTGCATTCCAAAGGCCAAGGATCAGTTTCACAAGCAACTATCGCATGGCTGGGCTCACTTGACAAGTTGGGACAATCGATTGCTGACCTAGCTGCAAACCCTATTCCTGCTCCTCCACCCTTACCCCCCATGCGACACTCGGCAGTAGTGATGCGGATGAACAACGTCATGGAAGCTGGCAGTCTGGTCAATTCTCTGGTTTGATCAGATGATGTCGACTCTCTGAATGAGTTCCTTCGTTAGACATTTTTGTTGCGAGTGAGATTTTTGCAAGTAACCCAGTAAATGCCAACTTGTTTCTCTCGGTCCAAGATGATCGTGTTCGCGTGAGCTTCATCAAGCACTTGGTGAAGCAAAAGCAATGAAGTCATGGAGCTTTTTATTGATCAATAAAACTGGTCTCAACGCAAAGCACGAAAAGCGACATAATCATTCCACATCTGCGTGGCTATCTTGTCGCGAAAAGCCCCCACGGTCATCTGCACACCTTACTGTCATGAGTGCTTCCCTCCCATCCAGCCAGTGTGTACTGAAATCACATGTCAAACCAGCAGACAGCGAGCACATTCTGGCTGAGTGTACCCTTCCGATTCCGCCGAGCAAATTGATTGAGTTTCCAGAACGGCTGCAGAGACGTGTGATCCGTTGATCGCACCTGATGAAAGGGTTGGATTAAAAGGCAGATTATGACACAGTCAAATCAATGCAATCTTTGAAGTATGGGTAAAGTTTGCGATCTCTGAGGATCTCAGCAGGGGTAGTGGATCTGACTCCAATGGCAGAAAGTTTCAAGTAGCGTTTCTTCAAAGATACAAGCGTATGGATGACGCCCTTGAAGGAACGACTGACAGTGTCAGCACTTCGCTGGAAGCGCTTGCGGACAATCCTGGACGAAACGTTTCCAGAGCAAGTGTAAAGGAAAATCGCGAGCTGTTCATTGTGGGACATGTGACGAGTACTTGGGAGCTTCCCTGTCGCCACAAGAAGCTTTGTGAGACAGCTGTGACCATGGGTGGATCGCAGAGATTGGATCAGAGCGGGACAGGAACGACCTCAATGAGGTGAATGGGACTTAACTCAAACGTTTCTATGTCCATGCGAAGAGCATTGTGAATGCGATCCTTATTTATTTGTCCCCTGCAAAGCTCGTCCAACCAGTCTTGACTGCGCAACCTGGATGGGCATACAGCTGTCTTGCAAAACCACTGAGCCCACTGCAGAAAGATGTCGTGCTCCAACAAGTGGGAAGCGACCATGGCTGATGCAAGAACGATTATACAGCGGGATGCAGCCTTTCTAAACAAGGCGTGGTGTTGTAGCGGGTGGTGGTAGTACTTGTCGAGCTCTGTGTGTGCTTCTGACTCCTCATTGCTGTTGTCCATGATCGGAGGTCGGTGCTGAGCAGGCAGTCAAAACAACAGTCAAACGTCCCAAACAAAAGGCGATTCAGAGCGAAATACAGGTCCCCACCTGTTTTTCGATTCTGGCCTTTTTGCAGGAAGAAAAACAGCGGGGCCAAGCAGTTCATGCACAGCTCTGCCACCTGCCTGATTTGGATCTGGCGCTGAGCATTTTTTCCAATTTTATTATGTAGATCCACTCAGCGCCGAGTAGACTGGAGCAAAAGTGGCAAACAGACTCCAGCACTGGGCGACCCATGCAGGAAAGAGTGAATTGTAGCAGCAGAGAGACAAATCGTGATACAATACAGTTTTTCATTTAGGAGATTTAAGAACTTGTTTGTTTGTGGATTTGGAAGTCCTCCAATCCCACGCGCATAACAGTCTAGAACACGAATGAAAGTGAGCGCCACTGCCGCAAAGTGAAACAGTCTGCAAAGAGGGACACCCCTTGAGCCAGCTCAGCCTGATTTCGGCTACTGCAAAGCCAATCGGCTGCTGCAGTTCAAATTCATTTCTCACTCCACCACTCCCGCCAAAAATCCTTTCCTTGCCTATGTCAGCGTTTGAGTGGTTTACTCTCAAAGAGGGCCTCAGCAACAAAATAAGGCCTGTTGATGCACGGCAATCGCTAACAGTTGGTCAATCTTGTCACGAATGATGTTGAATGGTCCTGAAAGATGTCCACAGCCCGGTTAGCTCAGTTTGGTAGAGCGTGAGACTTTTAGGGCTCTGGCGGGCCTTGGAAAGGCATCTTAAGGTCGTGGGTTCGACCCCCACATCGGGCGCTGTGATCGTGCAAGGGAGGCTAGATATGGCCATCTGTAAGTTGACTTACATATTATTGTATGGTGGGGAGGGTTATATGTCAAAGTTGTTTGCCAAAATAGAGCATTTTCACGTGAGTTTGGCGGGCACGTTGAAGCAAAATCCACGGTCTTTACGCAACAAGACGCTTCCGTCCCTTTGATTCCGCTCCCCGTCAACAAGAGCCATGTGTTTGCGGGCAGAGCGGGGCGGGTAAGGTTTCAGATCGAGGCCACGGAACCGGTCTCTGAGGCAGAAACCTGCTCCGTTCCAGCTTCATACACTGTAAGCACGTATTAATCCTTTGCAACGAGGTCGATCATACCTTAAAATTGTCCGCCCTTCCGTACCTGCCGCACATGATGTCAGCCTTGAAAGGCGTTTCGTCCTGGCAAAAACCATTGTGCCTCAACCTGTAGTGTTGAATACCTCAACATAGTCGAGTGTCCCCAGAGCCTGCACACAGGTGTGAGACTATACTCACTCTGACGCTGGGATCCTGGCCCTAAAGTGAAGGAAAGCAAATAATAGGCTAAAACTAACTTTATT